TTGATTATCCCGGCCTGTTAATCAGACGGAGAATGGCCGGTAGACTGGTTAAGCAAGACTAATTTCAAAACACTTGTAACCATTTTTCAGTCTATTATTTATGGATGGTTAAATGGTCATAGCTTATTAAGTACAACATGACAGTTTATTTAGTGACTATAAATGTGCGAATCTGATTTAATTATATGTTCCCAGAAAAGTATTTATCGGGTTGTGATTTTCAATAAAAGTATGGCAATTTTGGTATATGGAAAGTAGAAATATTTAATCTTACTAGAAAAATACCGGATTCCCTGAAAAACACCCATGGAGCGCATACAGGACAAAAATGTAAGGGTTTCCCAAATCGACAGCCCGACAATTAGGATTGTCGGCTTGCGTGACGTCAAGGTTGCACGCGGAGATTGATCGCTTGATGTACATGTTGATAAGAATTAGACGTACAACACTTTCTGAGATAAAGATCACAGAAAAAGACGTGGGTAGTGGATAATCCGAGAATTTAATTAGGCTTTGATATTTATGTTAAATGGATAGCGATTAAAAAAGACAACAGTTAATCGTCTTGTGTATGCAATGAATTCTCCTCTGACTTTGCACCCATTGCCAGGTAGTTCGACAGCGAAGTCACGTGACACAAACATGACCTCTTTTAATAGATTTTTTTTATAGCAGGGATCTGAGAAGGATCTGAAACAAAATTTTGCTAGATTAATAATTAGTTTGAATATGTTTTTAGTCCAATTAGGGGTTTCAGGTCAAGTGACTTTAGCGTGAAATCAGACAGCCAGTGGCTGAAATATAGCCCACTTCAATCTACGATTCTGAATTACTATTTTATGTAAATGCATTACTAGCAATTGTATTGCAATAGTTTAATATCAATCTCAATATCTGCAAATATTCATGTAGGGGTGATGATTTTCCGTGATCGCGGAAAAAACGCGGAAATCGCGGAATTGTCCACTCAAAACGGAATTTGAAATCTCACACGGAAAAAGACGGAAAAGCCAATATTTGCTGATACTAAACACAAACTCAAAATAATTTTGCACTTATCAAAGTATTTCATCTTTTTATTCATAAAAATCGGAAATATTGAATGATATCGCGTGGTTTTGTTACTGTCTATTTTAGTATTTCGCTACTTTCATTTCATCATTTCATTTAGGAATCATAATTTTAATCGAAACGAAAACCCGTCTTTCATGTATCCAATAATAAAATTACTCTGTAGTTTAACTTGAATTAAACATTGTAATGTATATATATGTCTTAAAAAAAACTTCTGTCACTTCATAAAAGTAAAAATCGTTTCATTTACTTCTTATTTTACTGCCGGGCTCGTGACTCGTGTTTATCCGCATTAACCACGTGACATCAGAAATATACCGTAGCCTTGTGAATCCAGCCCTTATTCTCGAAGAAACGGTAGTAACTACGAAGATGTCTGGATAAATCGCGACTACACCTAGCAGCTGAGAAAAATGGCTTCGTCTGCTAAAAAGATGAAACGAGCTCACAAGATGTAATTTTCTGTTATTTAATTCGGGAAACAGGTTTAAAGAATAACTAGTCATTGAACATTACAAGTCATTCACAATTCAACATTTGTTATCATTGGTTTAAAATGATCCGTTTTGTAATAAAAGGCATTTTAAGATGTTTTATTCATTTATTCATAAAATAACATTTTATCTCGAAAAAACGGAATATGGTCAGCTCTGAAACGGAAAATAACGGAATTAAAAATACTTAAAACGGAATTTGCTATTTTCTGAAACGGAAAATCATCACCCCTATTCATGCTAAAAAATTATCGAAATGTAAGCGAAATTACCGTTTGTTTACATGAGACGCTCGCAGGAAAATACCGCTCCGACGTCACACGGCCTGAGATTTTCCATTGCTACGACTCACTTCATTTATGGTTATTATGGTTGTTGATACCACATGATCAGACAAGTAGACCCGTAGAAAATTTCGACTAAATATAAAAAAATTTCTTGAGATATCATCCAGATTATAAATATTTGACATATTATCATTCAAATTATTACGATCTTAATAAATTTTAGCTGACAATAACGTGCGGATTTCAGTTTTAAAATTGGTACTAGCGATTCTGAAGGGAAAATACCGCTTATGACGTCACTCAAATATGACTGAAAAGCACTTATTTTGGTGCCATGCCACGCATTGACTGGTATAGAGCATTTTGATTACATTATTGACATCGATCTCGGATTTTAAAATTCCATAACTTTGGATCTAATTAGAATATTTTGATGAAATAAAAAAATTGGGTAGCATTTTATGTATATTTTCACAATTTATTTTTTTTTTAAAATTTTCGGTCATTTGAAACTTTGACCTGAAACCCCTAGTCCAATTACATCATCAAATCACCCAGTTTGTACACGGGAAAGTATCTTTAAAGTCTGGTATACATATATATATATAATAAATATTGTGGTGTAATTGTGAAGATATTTATTTATGGTTGGGCACCCCCTACCATAGCAAGACAATATCTGCAAGAAGCCATGTATATCAACCATCATTTCGCATTCGGTTTATATTTCGATAATTATGAAATGTACGTTTCACAGAAAAGCCACGTTAACTTTGATATTCAATGGAAGTGGGGCAAAATATGAAAATTACAGATGCTAGAATTGTTTATTGTTTGCTTAAACTTGTATTTATAATTACTTCTCAAGTAGAAGTTAGGTAAATTATTATTTACTTTAGCCAACTTGATAGGTGCCATCTTATCCATGGTGGCGGCTGAGTGAAAAAGAGAGCGGAAGGGGTTCCCACGTGCGATGTCATGGAGCACCTCCGCAGAAATATATTTCTAAACATTGGACTTGGATCAAGCGTATACGCATTCGCTTGACAGAGAACAAATTTTCAGTTTTTCGTAATTTGGGTACAACATTTGAGAGACAAATCTTCCAACCCATTGCTTAGATATATACGTTTTCAGTTATATGTCCTAGATGTGACTACCATGTTGCAGTTGTGAGTCAAAGTCCCTTGTTTTACAGCCGCCGTGAATCACCCGGGCTACAATAATTGTGACATAACTTTTGCACCTTTTCTTAAAACATGATGGTATTAAATTCCCTAAATACTAAGACCAAATTTGTACAGAAAACTAACGTAAATGGGTCAGGACATGTCATAACGATCAGTGATCCAAAAAATCACCATTTTTCTTATTTATGGTCCATTGAAGAGACGAACACTGTCAAGATTGGTCGCTTTATTTCTGTTACCGGTAGCCTACTTCTTTTTTGTAAATCATTTTTTTTTTTTCATTTTTAGTGAAGCCTGTACCATGACAGGTCCGGGACTGTACAGCGCAGTGGACGCTTAATTACGGCTGGCCCCTGGATCCATTCATGATTCACTTGATTTGATATTTGTTTATTTGGTGCATTGTCTATTTTCTGTCTTGTCCGCAAGTTTATCTTGTAGATTTTTATTTGTTTTGCGTGTAGTGCGGTCCTCCTGCACTTACTATTTGGGACTGTGGTTGCATTTTATATTGGTTTTTTGAGCAAGTTATGTTTGATTTTTGTTCTTGTATTGTAGATTTTTTTTTTTTTTAATGAAGTTACAAGATTAAATGAGAAATGAATGAATGCATGAAATTGGACTTAACGCCTTACACCTCTGCTCCAACCGGGCTATTAAAGAGAGGCATATTATACATCATGAAATTGAATTCCAACTGTCAAGGGTTCCATTTTTACAAAAAATAAAGTACATATAGACCATTTCAGTAAATTATATAATCAAATAGCAAATTGGGGGCTCTTCCCCCAGCTAGCCGACGGCATGCTTGTTTCGCTCACTAAAAACCAAAAGGCTGATTCAACCATATGTAGGCCTAACCGGTGCGATTTTACTATCCGAACTATTAATTTGCCTAAATGCACATGTATGTATGTGTGATCTTTTATGTTTCTTATATATTTCTTTGTGTGGTTTGTTTTTGTGTGTGGGGGGGGGGGGGCATACGAACATTTCAAGTTCCGAAGAGGTCGAAATATGATCTGGCAGATTTATTTCTCCAGCTTAAACATAGGCCTACATTATGCAAGAGCTAAATCTGATTATTGCAAGTCAGATGTCATAGAAATTTTAAATTAGATCTTTATTTACACAACAAGCACAAAATCAACTCTGTAGACCCACGGATGGCTTAGATTCGGCTTGGATTTAAACAGGATTTCATTGATTGATTAAATTTTTAAATGGCGTCGTAAGCGGAGATTAGGCCCTAACCGTTACGTTGACGTATAGAATAACAGGTGCTATTTACTCAGTGCGTTTTAACTGCGAATTATTTTGACGATGGGCTAATTCAGTCATAAGAAAACATTATCCACCCGATTTTTGAACCATCTTAGCCAAAGCCGTGCATAAGAAATCATGATTATTAAAGAGAGTATCAACCATAGACTCACACATATGACCATCCTCGGGATGGCTGTCTATTTAAAGTCAACTCAATTTTTGTCACGGTCGTTGAGATGCAAATTTAGGGCACGTGGTTGTTGGTGAGATTGTAGACTAGGGCTAGGGTAATTCAGACCGAGCTCCATTATGACAAATTTACAACATTCTGGCGATTTAACGTGATCAACTGAAAATTAAAAAAAAGAGAAGGGAAGCAGAAACTTTATTCTTTCAGAAATATATATTATGTATATATTTATCTAATTTGAAATTGATTTCCTGCATTACAGGTTTTCTGCGGGGTTATCTAAAGATTTTTGTCTTTTTACAAATCGGATTTTTTTGTTTTTGATTACCATTTAAGATCCTCGTGCACTTTCTGTTAGAGTTTATCAGTACATCGATCCACGTCAAAAAAATAGACATATATATCTTACATCACACTAAACTCTCAAATTATATTAAAAATCTATTGTTTTACTTTAGATTTTGAAAAATGTCAACATTTATGTTCAGAAAAGTATAAATTACTTATTTAAATGATTAAATAATAATCTATGTTATTGTTTTCTGCTGCATTTCAACATGGCGACTCCCAAGCCCAGGAATGTGACCCCAATTATACAGAAGTTAAGACAAATGCTTCTACCACATAGTGTTAGTTATTATATTTTATTTGTAAACCATAATGCTTCTGTGTATATCTTCTTCATTAATATACTTTTGTGGGCTATCAAAAATATATTTCATATCGAAAAGAATGAACTTCTTCGGGACGTTTGACATTGATTTGATTGACAATGATGAGTCCCAATGACATTATTCTTATTAACAGTCATCATACATAGTGCATCTACATTTCCATGTTATGTATTTGAAAGGTAACCTCAGTGGCTTAGTGCAGCCATAAGGTGCTGGGTCGCTAACCAGCAGGTCTCAATTTTCACCCTACGTGTTGGCCTTGAAAGTTCCTCAGGATTTTCTAGCGTGGTTTATCTTTGGCGATGAAATGAAATGAAATGGGGTTTAACGTCCTACTGTTCTGCTCCCAAACTGGGCTAATGAAGAAGGGCATACGCCATACAGTGTGCTATGAGGAAAATTTTGCCCGGGTAGCGGCACTATCACTAGTTCAGCTCTGAACGTAGGTCTTATTACACTCGGCCTCTACGTTCAGGGACTCTTCTATTGAAACCTTGTCGACAAGATTTTGTTTACCAGTCAATTTTACTGGGCAACTTTTTACTGCTAAACGGTCGCGTGTCAGTCCCTGTGAACGCCTGAACAATATAAATGAACATCTTAGTGAGAAAATAAGACCTTGCTTACCTCGCTAGAGTCAGTATGAGCGACACAACATGCTGTTAACTTTCTCGGCCAATGCAGGAATCGAACACCCCCGACCTCCAGGCTAGCGAGCAAGCGTCTTACCCACTTAGTCACATGATCCCCCCCTTGTCGGAGAGGTGCAGGACTAAGGGCGGTGAAAATATCATTATATTAGTAAATGAAACAACTTTTTCTGCTGTAAGAGGTTTTTACTAGCAAATAAACAGTTTGTGATGAAGTAGAAAAAGCAATGGAATACTAAAGCATAAGAATAAATCAACTTTTGATGTTTATAAAGAAGGTATCAATACCCAAAAAAGAATGGTAAACAAATAGATACATACCAGTACTACTCCTTATGGCTATGAATTTAATGATAATTTTGAATCCTTTATTTCAGAAACCACACAACAATGCACTTAGATTTGAAAATTTGATGATATCAAAAAGGTATTAAAAGAATTGTTTTGCAATTAATGCATAATTTCTGTTCAGCAAACATAAGAGTCAATAAGACTAAAGTCAAATCAGATGTTATTTTGATCAGATATGAAGAAAAAAGCAATCCTTATTAGATGATTTTTGAATCGATAATATAGATTGAGAAAAACATATATTGGCACTGGTTTAAATAGATTAAGGCAGGAGATCTTAGGAGAAGCTTCCTGAAAATACAACAGAAAATAGCTCACTTAAAGAAAAATTCTATTTCCTGTGATCTTTTATTATTTTTTATGATGGAGTTTCAAGAAATTATAGTCCATATTTTTCTAATGATAAAAGTCCATCAAGTTTAACATTGTTTCCTAAATAAAACCATGGAAACGGATGAGATAAGGGTAAGGGTAAACAGCTCTTCTAAATTTGGTGCTATGTATATAGCTCTTCCTTCCTTTCATTTTAAGCACTGGAGTGCACCAGAAATGCAATTACCGGTACTCAGACTAAGATTTTTCTAATAGAAAAATAAACGTGTTAGATTTCAGATAGGATAGGCCTATGAATTGAAATAGTGCATATTTTCAAACGTGATGGATTACTACTAGTTTAAAAATATATATCAAATTTTGTGAACAAATAAGTATTCTGTTTTGAAGTTGAATGTTTTGAAATTTAAATCTGTTTTTAGAACTCAACCACCCCCAAAGTTACCTGACGGACCATCGCATAAACTGTCAGATAATTATTATTATACTAGAGATGGTAGAAGAGAAGTGTTGCCACCTGTTAGAATATATGATAGCAGTAAACCTAGATTAACAGCAGGAACAGCAGGGTAAGGTTCCTATCCTCAAAACAATGGTTAAAGTTGATAGACTTATCCTGTTTTGTTTAACCAATTTAATGTTACAATTTTCAACCTCCTATAAGGAAGTTAAGTTTTATTATGTATACTTTAATACAGTAACTGTTTAGCCATCTGTAATTGCATAGCATTAAGATCCATTCTTCTATATTAGTGTTTTAATGCTTTCTTCCACTGATGGTGATATTAAGGTCTGACCAGACATTTTGTTACTCAGTCACACTGGATACAATAGTTGGCCTGACTATCTCTAGATATGGCTCTGGGTATATGTATCAATAATTTAGAGTTATTTCCCTTTGTATTAGCTAGTGACACCAATGTGGAATCAAATGTGGTTTTACGTCTGGCTTTTCTGCATCAACATGGCTCATGTTTCACAGAGGTATTATGAAAGCCTTCTTATACCTTTGTATTACTTGAATGACCTTTATAAGTTCAAGTATGCCTTCTACATGAGGCGTCATTCATTATGGCGCGTACATTGTTTACATAAAAGGTTGCGTTTACTGGTCCAGGCAGAATGGTGCCTTTTACCATGGACCTTATAATCATTTTTTATATACCCATTTAGGCATTTATACTAAATAGGAGATATTTATTATCTAGATATACTTCAAACACCTTTATTTATTTTTCTAAGACGTTGTAGAATTTGATTTGCAGAAAGAAAAAAGTTAATATTGCGAGCTGATTAACCCGCATCGATGTCATCCCTATCAGTGATTGTAGCGACCTAGCGAATATTCACTGCTGATTAGTGTGGATGATGAGCATTCACACCATGCAATGTACTATGATGGAAATATATAGTTATTTCCCATTTTATTAGCTACTCATGGCAATGCTAATCAACCAAATGAAACAAATTGCTTTATATTATTGTAATGCTTTTCCATATCATTTTCTTCCAGGGAAGGTACCATGGTTCCACTAGGTAAGGTTAGACCTGGTCAGCCTTACGAATGGAAATAAGATTTGTACTGAGAGGAAAATTGAACGGCAAGAATTTGATTGTAAACAAGGACAGAATTATCATTGATTGAGAGAATCAACGTTGAAAAGTGTGAAATAAATAGAAATTAGTCTGTAATATATAAACAGGAACTGAATGTGCTTTATAAGAATTGCATTAAGCAAATCATCACTATGTAATATATTGTATGGAAAGATAATGAATAAACTTTGTTTTAGTTGTTTTGTTTAAAACCGAAATAAATAATTTATTAACATCATTAGTTAATATCTAGATATCACTGTTCAGTAGATAATCCAAGTAATCTTGTATTCATAACTTCCCTCAGTTCTACAGGTACTTACTCCCACCACCAAGGTGGTCTTTGTCACCAGGTAGGGAGCCCAGTGCTTTAGAGGATGTGGTGCTAGTTTGCTGACCAGGAGGTCTCAGTTATTTTTATTTATCGAGCATGGTTTCTTCTTAGCAGTGATGCAGAACAGATGGCAAGAAGAGTGTCTAGTCGTTCGGATGGGTAGAGAAATTTTCCCGTGCCATAGCACACTGCATATGCTGTCTAGTCAGACAATAAACCCCATTTACCACCAGCTGCCATCAGGATCAATATGCCATGTCAGCTAGCAGACCCTGCCAGCTAGTAGACAAGCTAATATGCACCCAGTAGGTGTAGTTTCATGTCCTAATATATATTCTTATTGAGATGTTAGGTAGTTGGTTAAAGAAGTAAATATGGCCAATCTGCAGTGTAGACATGGAAATGTTATATGGGTTACACACTACATGGTCATTGAATTATACTCTCTGCAAATGGCACCTGTTCATGGCATAGAAGATTTACCCTAGAAATTATGCTGACATGTTCTAAACTAAGCAAACGTAGACATTAATAATCACATAATCCTATATTTTTTTAGCACCTGAGCCAGTGATTTAATATTGTTGAACCTTGTTGACTTCCTGGTTTATACCTTCATGACACAGGATCCTGCATTAAAGGAAAGGAAATGGGGGGTGGGCGTCCTACTGTTCTGCTCTGCTCCGACTGGGCTAATGAAGACACGCATACGCTGTACAGTGTACTATGAGGGAAATTTTAATGCACGCCAATGTGTACAAGGGATCTCGGCTTTTTGGCCCACCCGAACGACTAGGCATTGTCCTTTGCCAGACCCTCTGTCCTACATCTGACAAGGGGGAACCAGGATGGAATATCCCGATAAACTTCTTCAGCTAACTCTGGGATTGGGAAAAGACTTAATTCCATCAAATTGGAGCATTCCTGACTGACGAATCTGGGCTATATAGATAGCATACTGTACTGCTGTAGCTTGATAGCATATGTCACCCAGACCGACGGTGTGTGCGTTCACAACTATGTTTTATGTATATTTTCAGGTCCGTTCTCCATGTACACGTTTCCGCCCGGTTACATGGAAACGGCCCCATTACACTATTAAGACGAAAACGCACGCGGAAACGCGTACATGGAAAACGAGCGTGAGTATTAGAGGCTATGTTTGATTAATTCACGATTCTCCTCACACCCTATCTGTTGAATTTGGTTAGATTGGGTTGGAATTCTTTCAGTTCGGTTGCTTGTCTCCTCTTAGCCTTTATAAACTACAGCAAGTGATACTGATTTGTCACAACTGATTTACAAGGTTAGACATTTGTTACCAATCTGTTTTACAGACCTAATGCGACATCCGTCTTTTATCTCTGTCCAAGATGACTGACCTTTAAAAGGTCAGACCGCTGTAGTTCTAAGGGTGACGTCACATCACAATGTTTACCAACAAAGCAAGATGGCATCGATAACGCCAAAAAAGATTACTTCTGTGGCTTGTTTTTGTTGTTTTAAAACAAACACGAGCAGGCCAATCAGATTAGACGGTAAAAAATGTACTTCTGAAAGAATTCAGAGTAAACAAACAGAAAAAAACGTTAAATTGATGGTCACACGTGCGTTGTTTACATCGAACGTAGTAATATGAACTGGTACGGGCAAAATTATATCGTTTTACCCATTTTACGCCTCCGCGTACTATTTTCTGTACCTATTTACGCTAAATATGGAATATTTTTTATCAAGATATACTTCAAACACCTTTATTTATTTTTCTAATCCTAAAAAAAAATGTTTCAGAATTTAATTTGTCGAAAGAAAAAAAGTTAATATTTTGTAGTCATTAAGTCGCATCGATGTCATCCTTATCAGTGACTGTAGCGGCCAAGCGAATATTCACTGCGGATCAGTGTGATTTGTTACATAGAGCAGCATTATCGTTGTTGACCATCTTTATTAAAACAGCATCATGTCCAGAGATATTGAATTTGATACTGATTCGTATGAACGGATATCAAAGTAATATGCAAACCAAAGCCCCACCGAGCGTATCAAGACACGGGAAAATCGAATAAAACGTGAAATTTGATACATTAAAACAGTTTATGATTGTTTATTACCGTTCCATAGGTTCGTGGAATATTTTCGACTAAGGGACGTTCTAGACAAAAGCGATTCTATGCGTGTGAAATAGCTTTATTTCACGTCCGCTTCCACCGAAGTGATATTGAAGACAATTACATGTTATGTTATACAAAGTGAAATACCGGTATTTACAAAGTGATTAGAAAAAAAGTGAAAGAATTGGTATAGGATATTTATATATATGTACATAGAAAACACTTAAGGATGGACGATATAGATTTAACATACAGACGTGAACATGTAACGAGTGTGTAGATAATATATACATAGACAACAAAAGACAAAAATAACACTGGACGACACGAACATTTGACGAAACGAACATAGAACGATAACTGCGATGCAGTGATCACGGGTTTAACCGGTGCCACGTTACCCTTGAACTGACGTCACGTTCCGTACCAATGAAGCGTAGTGAGACAGATTACAACATGAACATTGCTCACGTGTTATAACATGAACGCAGAATTAGCCACTAAATTCATAAATATCAGTTCCATTTATACTCGTGATACTCGTGATACCAAAATGACATTACTTCCGGTGAAAAATGAACATGTTAAATAAGTTTCATAAAATCGTAAATGGCACGAGGCATCATTTAGAGGAAATTTTATGAAGTCGAATGATAATTGACACTTTTATGGACTAAAACCCTTGAAAAATGATAAGCCACCCATATGAACTGTTTATGTTCATGTGTAGGCAATTAACATACACTGGTTACCTCTAATAAAAACAGCAGTGCATTTCTGCAGTTTTGTATTGTTTTTGAATATCCCCTATTTTTTTTGATTTAAACCAATAGTTCACCAAAAGTTCAAATTTTCAAAACGTAGCAAGGACTATCTGTTAAAAAAAATTTTCGATTTTAAAGGTTAAAAATACAGTTTTTCGTCACTTCCTGTGTCAATTTTAAATTGTAATCAATTTGATATAACGCATATTTGCTTTATGCATCCAATGGTATCACTTTCATATAAATCCATTAACAATTGACTCTTTTACAGGCAAAATAACGTGAAAAGTGATTCATGCAAAATTGCACATTTCACGGCAACTGCTCATATTGCAAACTAATTTTGACATACATTTTCTTCGTATGAATTAATACTACAAGTTTATGAAAGTTGCGAAGAAATATTTTAATTAAAATATCAAAAGCCTGAATGCATTGTAAATAGCTCATTTTTTGCACCTTTTTTCACCATTAAATCAAAATAGCGCAACTACAAAACCGAAATATTTGCTTATGCTTTTCAGACAAAATTACGCCACTTCCGGTATTTTTAGCCTCCAAAATAAATATTTTGTGGTAGTGAGTTATATTTATTATTTCTTTAAAATTATGATAATAAATTCCAGTGGACATGTAACTATGATCAATACGATCATATAGATATCTAGTTGATTTCGTCTTCGGTTCTGTTCCTTTGTTGTTGGTTCTCCGAAGGAAGAATCCAGCATCTGAAAAAAAGAAAAAGGAGAGTACTGTA